TCATGCCATTCATGCATGATCAACAAGCCTGCACCACCGAAAACAAAGTTGACACCATGGCCCATAGAAAAAGAACCATTTAGCCGAATCCATATCGATTATCTTCAAATAGGTAAAAACTATATCCTAATAATAATTGACGCATACAGTAAATGGATAGAAGCCTTTATAACTAAAACTACAACAACTAAGGCTACAAATGAGTTCTTGAGACAGACTTTTGCAAGATTCGGGTTGCCAGTGACTTTGGTATCTGACAATGGAACACAATTCACCTCAGAAGAATTCGAAAGTTTTCTATCAAGTAACGGAATAAAACATGTTACAACCCCTCCTTACAACAGTCAAAGTAATGGACTTGCAGAAAACGCAGTCAAAACCTGTAAAAACAAAATTTACACATACATGTCAGACCCGGAGAACAGAGGCATCGAAATGACAAATCTTTTATCAAGATTTTTATTCAACTATAGAATAACCCCACATACTACAACTGGAAAATCACCAGCATTGCTAATGTTTGGAAGAGAACTTCGTTCCAGATTGACACTACTAAAAGAGAACAACAAAACAAGTCCAACAAAAACGAACAAATGGTGTTCAGAAGCTCAAGAAAACATGTTAAAAGCTCAAGAAGCTCAAAAGAGAAATTATGGGGGAGTCAAACGCAAGCTATTCGAGAAAGGCCAAGCTGTCTTTGTGAGAGACTACCGAAACAACAAAGAAACCTGGACAAGTGCAAAAATCGAAAAACAAATAGGAAAAACGACCTTCAAATGCAAAATCGAAGAAGGAAATGTCTGGAAAAGACATGCCAACCAAATAAGGGCTGGGGAAGGGAAAGGTTTAGGCGAGAGAGAACTGGAAAGGCAGAAAAACACCTTAAATTACAATAATAACAAAATTGCTGACTTTACTAACAATAAAAATAACAATTCTTTTCAGCCTAATAATGATGATACTTCTGAAAATGACAATATTAATATTTCTAACAATTCCAGTCATGAAAATGATACTAATAATATAATCATTTCACAGAACATAGCCGAACCACCATTGGACCAGTCCCAAAATGAAACCAGTGTGAGTTGTAACGCTGCTCCAGTGACCCTGGACAGTGCATCCCATTTAGATTTAGAAAACACTTATACTCCTAGTGTTAGGCCCATGAACAATGCGACAGGTGCTGTAAAAAAACAATACAGTGCGACAATATACCCAACAAATGTAAGTGACGAAAATTTAATTGATAAATTTAGAAAATCGAGCACTAAGGACATTGATGACGCAACCAAAATGAGGCCCAAGCGAAATAGAAAAACGAATTCATATTTGAAAGATTTTATATTAGACTTTGATTAACGAATAATGTATTGTAGAATTAGGCATAAATTAATTTCAGACTCAGATGGACGCAGCTGTTGGCGGAATAATAAACATCAAAGTCATTGTAGACGAAACACATTTGTAATGTCAGAGTCACATAATCCCACGGCATGAAACACTTTAGCATTCAAACAGAGCTAACAGTCGTTGTGATAAAGTTCAATCAGGACGCTAAGTCGTACAATTCTGAGACAAATAAACGCAACGAGTGTTTGCTCACAACCACTAGTGCAATGTTCAGCACAGCAGTGGAAATGCATCGTATTTACATAAATACGAATTGTCATTAGGTAATGTTAACGAAAATGAGTTTCAGCTTAAAGAGGGAGGTGTGATGGGTCAGCCTCTAGCCAGGTTGCCAAGTGGTCAGCTCCCATGACCCCAAACGAACCAAGGTACACTACCAGGGGTCGCTACAGGGAACTCATGACGAAACATCCGGCTTCATCGAGAACCACCACCACGACTACCTCCGCCAGTCTACTGTTACCTACGTGACGATAAGCACCTTTTAATGCCGCCGCTCGCTACGGTCCTCTCCGCGAACGTCCAAGCCCTAATTCATATTATTGCATAACTCTATATATTATCTGTGACATTAATTATTAAACGCTTTAAACAGTATCTCGCTTTTATTCACACAAGCTCGGTTATCACAGAAATAATAAAACTCTTTGCTGCCCTTTGTTTGCATTAAAAATGTGATATACACTTTACATCCTAGGTTGTCGAGTGAGTTACTTTTAGACACTAGCGCGTATATTTTTTTAAAATTTATGGTTTAATATTGTCAGTAGTAGAGAAAATTTTGTACGTGTGTAAAGCCCCTTTTCTCACTCATGTGAATGCGTGAAAAAAGCTTCAATTTACACACTTTTTATATAAATAGCTATATTATAGCGAACACTGGTTACATTGGTATTTTGATGGTATAACTTGTATAACAGTATAACCTGTTTGTGGAGGGTAGGTGAGAACAATGTAACGAAAGCGAAAATTTTAGTTAGAGCATAATATTTTTGTGGGATATGGTTTGGCCGTCCATATGAAACGGCCGCCCTGGGCGGCTGCCCGCTCGCCCGACCCCTAACGACGGCCCTGTAGAATCCGAATATTCAATAATATATAGGGTATTCCATTCGAATAAAGGGAGTTGGACCATGACCAGCTTTTCTGAAACACTGTGGGTACCTATATGCGAAAGTGAGTTGACAAAAAAAAAAAAATAGTTTCAACTATAAAACTTTTCTTTCGAGATGGCGAGCCGGGCCCCTACGGAACCCGGGCCCTGGTAATTTGTACCGGCCGCACCCCCCTATGCACGGCCCTGCCCCTCATACAACTTTTAGACTTAGCTTATGAGTTATGAGTCTGTGTAAAGCCGAAGGACCACACAGAAGGGTGGCGAGGATCTGTATTGACGTCACATGGGTATCTATGGTTGACAATAATAGGCAATCCTCTTTGCTTGTTTGTCTTTGTTTCACAATCCTGTAAACTTTTTGGTCACTAAACCTAAGACCTTATTCAAGAACAGATTTTTGTTGTGCGAGATTTGGATGTGAAAAACTAATAAGGCAATTCAAACCACGTGACAATCAAGATGGCGTGGCGGCCACACATAAGCCAAAAAAATATCTAGTTTCTACCCGATTTAATAGTTCAGGTACCTAGTCAACAAATATTTTATTAAATAATCAAAATCAAAGTTGCAAACCAAACTCTAAGCAAAATAATTTAAAATAAGCATAAAAACATAATCAAAACAAACTTGCTTGGCCGCCAGGCCATATTGAATTTTCCATTTTGACAGATGGATTGAATTGCCTAATATTTTGACAGACACCTGCGCATAAAATTGAGGTTAAGGTTAAGCCAGTTAACGGTGACGGTTTTCATTGGGTGTGGAGCAATAATCTAAGGGGGCAGCGTTCTCATGATAACGAAGATTCTGTCTGAGTCGCCCATATATTTCAATAACACTGACAAAGGCAGGTTTCGAGTCGGCAGCTGATAGTGGTGACGTCATCCGCTGACTTCGATGGATTGCTTGTGATTATAGTAGTCCCACTGACTTGAACGAGGTTAGGAATACTTTGAGCAACATCAGGAATAGGAGGGCTTGTGGATACGATGAAATCTTGGTAGAGTTGCTTCTTCGCTTGCCGGATGCTGCCCTGAAAGCGCTGGCCTTCTCAGCAGTTCGTGGAGCAGTTGTTTTAACGGTTCATACCGGTATAGTTTTTCACAAATATCTAATGGCCATTTGCACTGACCATTTCAAGAAGCATCCCTTAAAACGGTCATTACAGAAAAAATTATGTTTCTATAATTTGTGGTTTATTTTTTTTGGATTTCTCTACCTATCTGCAACAACTTTAACCCTTTCGCACGATTTGTCCACTGCAGTGGACATAGTTTTCAAACTTCGTTTCATATGTCTAAATATTAATTATATTGGTCCCAAACATTTTTGTCCATTTGTATGGACTTCAAACGAAAACGCTATGTCGGTTAGCGTCATCTATGGGTCGATTTTCAAATAATTGTATATTCTTCTAGATAGTAGAGGTCGAGAACTATCGATAGTAGGCGCCATCGATATTTATCGATAGTCAGCAAGAAACCATCGATAATTATCGATAGTTTTCGATAGTTTCAAAATGCTGAAATAGACATGAAGATAAATTCTTTCACTGTAAAAAACTTTTTCTACAAACGTCACTAATTTTTAACGGATGCTGTCAGTGTCTAAAATGCCATTTTATGACACTGGTGTTAAAAGTGATTACTTTTAGCACTAGTGCTAAAAGTAATCACTTTTAGTGCGTTTGTAGAAAAAATAGTGTATGATATTCGTGCTAAAAGTGATTTTATTTTGTTCAAAGGGATGGAACACTCCGCCTTTGGCGTCGTGTCCCAAACTTCCCTTTTCACAAAATAAAATGTCACTTTTAGCACTTATATCATAAATAACTATTATTTTTAAATTTTAAACTTATTTGATTATACCTAATTGTATTAAAAATTCACATTTTTATGTAAAAATGTTAGCATATTAATATTGGCCGCCTTTATTTTGGATCGATGATCGATGGATTCCACTTCCAATTTACACTGGACATCTGACCGTATGGTGATTTCGATTGGTGAAACCGGAGCAACAAAAATTTCGTCTCTTTCTTTATGTTTTCATTCCGATATCGTGTTATTCGTCTTCTCTCTTTCCTTGTCTAAGTTTCATAACATGCAACTATCGAAACTATCGATATTACAAGAAATACCATCGATAATTTTCGATAGTCCAAACTATCGATAACCATCGATAGACTATCGATAGTTCTCGACCTCTACTAGATAGACAGATTCATCAATGGCGGATAAGGTAAACACCTGGAAAATTATTTTCCAAAATAAAAGTAAAAAAAGTGAAAATTATTTTGTTTATTAGTGACTGAATGTAAGTGGAAGCTTTTTTTGATATATCCAATACAAAAAAAATATTATATATATACGCATTTGATAGTTATGATCGTGTTTGAAAGCATGTCCACTGAGATGGACAAAAGCCCTTCATAGCTGAAAAAATTGTTTAGTTGAAATTCTGTTTTAGCTCAGGATGTCTCGAAAAAAGAAGTTTCATTCGGACGAAGAACTGTTGCAAATGCTAGAAAATGATGAATTATCTGATATAGAGTTGTTATCTGATGAGGATGACGGTTGGGAACCAGAAAAACTTTATGAAAGAGATATAAATCTTGATGGTAAGTTCCATTTTCTCTTTTCTACAAAACTAATTCATTGATTTCATTTTTTCACACCTAGACGAAGAAAATGATAGCGAATGTTGAAAACAAGCCACCAGATGGATCTAGGTACGACTGTTATGGCCATTTTGCCGAGTTCGACGACAAAAAGGAAGCAAGGCGCTGCAAAATGGAAGGATGTACAAAAAAAGTTCATACATTTTGTACAAAATGTAATGTACATTTGTGTCTCGTAAAAGGGCGTAACTGTTTTTTCACTTTCCACAATAAATGATTCATTTTTCCCTATTGCTTTTATTTACTAACAAACTAAAATTTCACCCCCCTAAAGACACTTTGTCCATTCTAATGGACATGTCATAAATTTGTCAAATATGTCAAGGACATTATTTTTTTGACATGAATAGTTAGAAATAACAATAATAAACATAATTACGCAAAAAAATATTTTTTCCCCCCCCCTACAATAAATTTGGCTCCGAAAGGGTTAATACCTTGCGTTCGATATTTTGCTCAAAGTGTAGAGCGAGCTGAGCGGAGCCGTAATCACGTGACCAGCGAGCGAACGGAGCAGTTGAACGCCGTATAAAAGTACCGGAAATTTTAATAGACGAACGCGAATGAGGCTGCACCGAGTACACTTTTTAAATAAACGAACGGTAAAGTCAAGCTCGGAGAACTCAGACCAAAATAACGAACGCACGGATAGTCATAATAATTACTATTAATAAAATAAATTTTTGTGTTTTCGATCGGTGATGACGTAATAGCGTGTCGTTTCTCGCCTTGACGTTGTGCTTGCACCAGTTGCACCACGGATTAGGAGGTGTTTTCTCGCGTCTCTAAAGTTTTGAAACATTTTCCAAAACTGTTTTAAATCAGTTTTACAATTACGTCATAATTTCTCGGCACGAGGAAATGGTTTTAAAACGTGGATTGGATTGTATTTCGAAACTGTTTAGAACCATAGTACATTATTTAATATTCTAAAACAACCCTTGTTTAGATCTCATTTGCATCTTCCTCTTGTCTATTGACTATTGTGTTAATCAAATTTAAATTATATTTTTCATCATACATGTATATTCTTAACTACGAACGCAAACCGCTAACGACACCGTTGATGACGTCGGCAACGGTTCAACAACATATGAACTTGATTCCAAAAATCGAAGCCGATGAGCAATCCTGTAGTAGTATGTAAAATCCTTGGTGTGTAGCCTAGCCGAGTTCAGAAATGCGCGCTGTCCAATGTCCAACGCTCTGTTTTTTAAAGTGTTAATTTTATTATGATACAACCAAACAGCAAACAGATTAATTTATAAAATCTTGGAACCGAAAAATACCGGTAAGAACCGATTAATTTATATCGGTTCCGGTTTTGCCTGCCCTACAACATTTCTATGAAATATGGGTTTCGTTCCGGTTCCGGTTCCGGTCCGCAAAAAAAAAAAAACGGTTTCGTTCCGGTTTTCGGTCCAATATCGTTCCGGTCTGGGTCCCTGGTTGTCGGTATCCGGCGTGTTTGAGGGAGGCTGTCATTAATCCATTCCACAAGGAAGGTTACTTTGAAAATTATTCTAACTTTCCTCCCATATCGCTTCTGCCAGCGCTTTCCAAGGTTTTCGAGGAAATTATAGCGAATTCCATTGGTAAAATCAGTGCTAAAAAAAAAAAATGTGTTTTTATCTCTTTTCAATACAAGCTGGTAGAAAAAGTCACGAATACACTCAGGTGATCTAACGAAAGCTTTCGATTGTGTAGAACACGGAATATGCTGGCCAAGCTCGAGCGTTATGGTTAGAGGCGAGGCTCTTCAACGGCAAGGATAAGACAAACTACTAAGCATTGCTTATCGGCCTCGTTTTTGGTGCACTAGCGGTCGTAGTTTAGAATTACTTAAATTTATGAAGAAAAATATTATTTAATTTTGATTAACATAATAAGCAAAGAGGAAGATGAAAACTAGATCTGAAAAAGAATTGTTTTGGAATGTTAATTATTGTAGTAAAACCAAGTATGCATAAAGCAAAAAGCCCGCGTAATCATAACCTGTGGTGCAGACAGCCTACGCCAAGGCGAGAAAGGAGATGCTGCCTCCGTCACAATTGGTGATTTAGCGTGGTGGGGGGCTTCAGATTTGTTTTATACAGGCCCAATGAGGAAAGGCTATCCTGTAGTAATAGTAGTGTGTATTATCCTTGCTTCAAAGGTTTACCTCTTAGTGGGAGCAGGCAGTCGGTGGTTTTTCCTGGGGCAAGTCTTCAGCACTGGAGGTGCGGCATGCAGCGTCATGGAGTCCTACAGGTATTATTGTTGGGTCCTTTGTTGTTTCTCGTTTATGCCAACGATTTGTTCTTCCTTGGTAAACTTTATTGGGAGATTCACTTCTTTCGCAGACGACACGTCTATTTGTGTATGATGGCACGACAGGGATACTGATGCTCAACTGATGAGGTACGGGATATCTGAGGATCTAGCAATAGTCAAAAGCTGGTGCGATGCAAATCTCCTCTCTTTTAACGTTGCCAAAACTAGCCTTGTTTGTTTTACGGGTGATGTCCGGGAAGTGAGGCTGGAAGGTGAAGATCTGCAGGCCAAATTCGAGAATAGGTTTTTGGGTGTTCCTAATTTGATTCTGGTTTACGATTCGAGTCCCATATCATGGGATTAAGCAGTAAGCTGTCCTCGGCATGCTTTGCCATAGGAACTATAGATTTGAGCTTCGTTTGCTAGTAGCGCGGACAGTCTACTTATTGCTCTTTTCGAAAGCCACCTAGTATGGCATTCCATTCTGGAGTGTTGCTTACCAGAATCTACTTAATGTTATCTTTATTCTGCAGAAAAAGGCTGTTCGTGCTATTGTTAATTCTGGTTACATAGATTCATGCAGACCCTATTCTATTTTTCGAATTCTCAGAGGTCCGTTACTAGTCTCTTAAATTCTCGAAACTGCATGATTATCTCTCAGAAATGACCGAGATCCTGTTCATGAACGATTCACTCGGCAAATTCACGACCTTCCCTTGCCGATTCCCACAAGCGCACTGGTGCAAAGGTCAATTATTTATGAGGAAAGAAAAATATTCAACCACCTTTCCGTCGTGATGAGAAATGCAAGGGACTTGAAGCATTTTAGAAAAATGTTCAAGACGTTTCTGAGTGAAAAGGCCTATTATAGAACTGAGGAATATTGTAATAATGACCTGAACATCATTTAGTGCTTTGGCGCTCTTTGTGGCTGGATGGTGCTTGTCTACGTGCATATTTTTGTCTATTTGTTTTTATTTTTGTTTATCTGAGGGTTTCTCGCCTATTTATACTTTACTTTCACCTATTTATAGTTAGGTACCTACCTAGAATAAGTCTGCTTTGTCCGCAAAAAAAGTATATTTTTTTTAACCAAAAAAGCACATTTGATTTGATTTGCTGTGCTTGTGAGTTGATTTTTCCGTCGATTTTAAATGTAGAAAAAGCGATTTTAACGTTCAGTAATTCGCTTTTTTGACCTATAGTTTAAAACTCGGGTAATGCATTTTACGCCGAGAAGTGAGGTCTGCGGCTGACGTCACAACTCAGGCTACCAATTTTCAGGAAAAAGAATATAATTTATTGCAGATCTTGAAATTACATAGGTGGGTAATGACGGTATTTACTTTCCACTGCTTCTTTCCCTACTCATCCCTTGTCCTTGCCACATGTACAAACCAGTTTAGATCTCAAAATGCTTTAGTGACGATTAGGAAGCTGTTAAAATATGATTTTAATTTTATATCAGGGGTCAATATAGGTAACGGCCAAAAGGGCCGATTTATTGATATACCTACCTACCTAAAAAGATGATACCGATAATACCTACTTGAGACGAGGTGTTTTCTCGCGTCTCAAATGTTTGAAAATGTTTTCCAAAACTGGTTTAAAACAGTGTCACATGACGTCATAACTTATCGGCGCGAGAAAATGGTTTCAAAAAGTGGATTCGATTGTAGAATATTTCGAAACGGTTTGAACCAATTTTGATTTGACGTCATAGTCATCGCGAGAATATACTGTTTCAAACCTGTTTTGAAGAAAATTGCCTCGAAGTTTGGTGAACTTTTTAAAGTTTTTTCCATTTTTTTTCCCATCACCATCCATACAAATTAAAAGTGAATAGATGTGGTTAGTGTTAAATCAAATAACTTATTAAAACTAGGATTTTTTTCTTTATTGTGGAATCCAAAGATTTGAAAGAAGGAACAAGGGACTGGTAAAGACAGAAAGAAGCCGATTCTCAAAAATCCAGTCACCGCAATATTCATTCATTGCGTGTTTGCGTTTTCAGCCTCTAACCTGTGAACGAACGAAGTCTATTTTTAGCTGGATCTGTTTGTTTATGCAACCTACGTAATTTAATACTGTACTTCTTGGGAGAGAATCCGAGGAGGCAAAAAGACACACGGCGTTCGGCAGTAAACTTAAATTTAAAAACACCGCGGGAGTCCTCCGTGTTCCGACCGTTTTCTCTTCTTTTCTTCCCTGGCAAATCGGTAAATGACGTCATTCTATTGAGGGAAATTGCCAAGGTTTTTATTTGGCAGTTTGGTTGGCATATCTCTGCGGAGACGAACCGGGTGATCACGTGCAACCTAAAACGCATGCGTGGAGAAGTGTCCGTCAAATAAGAAAGAAAATTGTGAAAAGTCAGCTGTCTGGAGAAAAAAAAGAGGAGCTTATCTCTAAAAAAATAAACTTGATTCAAAAAATTACATAAGCACAACAGTAACAGTTTTTAGTGGGAATTATCAACGTTTGTTTGTGAAATTATTTATGCCGGTGAGAGTGCTTTATTATCGGATTTGGATTTGTTAAAATTTTCAAGGTAGGTGCAACCTAGTGCTAGTTTACCAGCGATTTCCCACGATTTCTAGATAATTATTCAAAAGTCCAGCCACAAGTTATTTATTCGACTGTCATCATACCAAGCAAAAAGCAAAACTATCTATCCATTTATTGTCCCAGGCATAACCCAAGTTGTCCTAACCCCCAACCATTTCTGTTTTTAAACAATATCTAAACTTTTTTCTCAAGTATATTTTCCTGATTTCCCAATAAAAAAAAATTATTAGACCTACACTCTGTTCAACCCCACCCAAGGAGATCCAGCCTCAAAGATTGCACACTGCAGGGGGTAGAGGGTCTAGGACTCCTGGTGGGTGGTAGCATTTAGCATTTTTGTTTTACCAATCATGAATTATTTCACTGAAACATAATAATAATTATGATCTCATATTATTAATTCCGAGTATTAAATATTCATTCAGGTTTTAGTTGAGATAAGGTAATTTCTCAGAAATTATATTTTCTAGAAGATTTTGCTATTAGGTATTGGAGTCCTGTTTTTATTTTCTTTCCAATAAAGTGAGGATTATTTAAATTTTTCAATAAACAATTATATTTTATTTCTAGCCCCATTTGAAAAAAAAAGAGTTGCATCAAGTTCATGAACTTTTTTGCTTCTGTTTGGGTACCTAAAACAACAAAAAACATTGCTTTACTATGCTACAGGAAAATAATTTACCTAAATATGTAATAACAATGCTAACAAAAAAAACTGAAGTTTGACTTCAAAGAAAAATAACTATGAATTAATTCAAGAACAATGTATCGTAACAATTTAAATATTTCCTCGAATATAACCTACCTAATAGAATTTTATAACTAAGTAACTGACCCTAAGAATCAAGTTAATTTAATTTTCTGCTAAGGTACATGTGTCACATTTTTGCACTTTCTTTTGAACATTGCTGACTCCATATGAAAAACATCAATATTAAGAATATTTACCACACAAAGATATCCATTAATTGGAATATTAGCCCCATAGGCTATGAAACGGAGTATTAAATGTTGACTGATTTCTCAAACCATGATAGTAAGGTACACTTAGGCTTATTTGATTCAAAAGTGTTGGAGCGAGAGTTGGAGAGTCAATGCATCTACTTATAATTTTAAGCAAAAATATTAAGCCAAATAAGTCTCTTCTCAGTCTTCGCTTACTCAATTATTATTATTATGGGTATCTGCAGTAGACGGAATAAATCCGATGAAACTGCTGAATCTATTTGAGTTGTTGTTTAAAGATTAGAGATTTGTGGGAAGTCATGCATTGCTCTTGCCAAAAGAGCCTCTGCAGTCTTGATAGTCCTCCTGAAACTTAATTGCCTCATATGGTATAGTGCACAAAGAACGTTGTACTTTCGTTCTTCATTTCTTGGTCTAAACAGTTTTTGAAGTGGTTCTTTGTTGTTGACTTAACAGTGTTATTACCAAGAATGCTCCAGAGATAAATCACCCTGTTTGTTAGAAAGTTTCTTCTCATTAGCTTGTTACATTTCTCCTTGGAAAGCTTTAGATTGTGTCCTCTGAGATTGGTGTTTTGGTTGAGGTGGTAGATCTCTCTTAAGTCGCATGCATAGTGCCCATTCATTATTTTAAAAGTTTCAATGAGATCTCTCCTCATTCTTCTATCTTTTAGGATGGTTAGGTCTAGCCGGGTTAATCGTTCCTAATAGGGCAGTTCATGAAGGCCTGGAGGCAGCTTAGTTATTCTTCATTGTACCCTCTCAATTTGCTCTATGTCTTTAGCATAGTTAGTATTCCAAATAGTTTGTGCATATTCCACTCTTGGCCTGACATATGCTTTATGTAGCTTTAGTAGTATCATATCTTCGGAGAAGTCTTTAAATGATTTTTGAATTTTGTATGAGGTAAATCATTGAATAGGCTTTTTTGGTTATTTGCGTGATGTAAGTTTCCCATTTCAAGTCCTAGGTTACAGTGATTCCTAGATCTCTCTGTTGTATGACAGGTGTTATTTGAAACTGTTCAAAAAAGTAATTCAATTTAGGGTTGTTCTGGCTGATATGTAGGATTGTGCATTTGGAATCATTCAAGGGCATTTTCTATAGCAGTGTCCATTCTTTGATATTGTTTAGGTCTCTCTGAATAGCAGCATGTTGCGAAAGTGAATTTCCATAAATGTTTCCATCATCGGCAAAAGATGCATTTCTTGTTTCCAGCCCTAGATATAGATCACTTAAATAGGCAATAAAGAGTAGAGGACCGAGAGCTGATCCCTGTGGTACTCCACTATGCACTCTGTGCTCTTTTAAAAGTGTTGGACCCACACGCACCTGGAAAGTTCTTCTTGTGAGGAATCCTTCGATCAACTGGAGTAAATTGCCCCTAACTCCGACGTGTTCGACTTTATGGATTAGGAACTGTGTTGGTGTTTTGTCAAATGCTTTTTTGCTACGTGGTTGTCATCTGACAGTGTCCAGTGGTTGAGTCTTGTTAGGAGATTTGTAATCGTCGATTTCCCGGGAAGAAAGCAATGCTCAATGGAGGCAAATTTGAATTTATTTCAATGAGGCTATACCTAGTTATGTACAGGCTATAGGTATGTGCCTATTATGTTATTTTTTCTGCATTTTATCCTAAATTTTAAATTTGAAGTACCAAGTACCTATTACAAGGCCCAAAGTTTTGTATTTGTATTAAAATTGTCATTTTATTTTGTGTTTTGATGTTAAGTCAATTATTGCTTTTGAACCCTCGATTGAACCACCACAGAAAGTTATTTATTCTGTTGATTTTAGGTTTAGGGCGATTTTTTTTTGCAGGAATTATAACCCAACACATCCTCAATTAGACAGCAATATTAAAATATTATAAGAAGAAATAGATTTACAGGACTACTCTTTAACAGTGAATTTAGGCTCGTTGCAAATGAAACTTGTTTTAGCTAAATCTGAACTGGTACTTAGGTGAACTATCCAAAATACTTCAGTAAAAACAAAATATCCGAACTTCTCGAAATATATTTTTTTAATTTAAATAATACCTACTAAAGGGTGTACCAATAGCAGTGATAGAACTTTAATTTGGAATAAAACACAAACCTTTCAAGTTAGAAAAATAAATTGTGTATTTATCGAAAACATATTTTATGCCATTTATGTTTTCAACAGAACATCCTTTGAATGTCATCCTCTTTATGCCCTGGCAGACGCGTATGATGGGTGCAATTTCTTATGACTCGTGCAAATAATAATGCCGCCAGCCCACAAATCGCACCAAACTTTTTGGGAGCTATAATTGTTTTTCTAGCACTTTTTGGGGATTGTTTTCTTCCCAATAGTGCATATTTTGTTTGTTGACAAACCCATCGAGACAGAAATGGGCTCCGTCGCCGACGAAGATTTTTCGAAGAAAATCATTTTCAGCGACGAAGCCCATTTCTGCCTGCTTCTGCAGGGCATCAAGCGGATGACATCGAGGATGGCATTCAAATGATGTTTTTTTCAAAACATAAATGGCATAAAATATGTTTTCGATAAATACACAATTTATTTTTCTTACTTAAAAGGTCGGTGTTTTATTCAAAATTAATGTTTGTTGCTATTGGTACACCCTATAGCTCTTCGCACCGCCGTCGGCATAAAGTAAAAAAAAAAGATTTGGTAAAAATCAAGACAATATTTTTTTTTAATCATTCTTCTGCTTCCTATTCATTGATTTCTCCAACATGGATCTTGCCACAGACCTAACCACACATTTAGGTACTCACACATTTATTTGAATTAAGGTGTTGCACAGAAAAGGTGTGTAAGAGCAATATTTCCTATGTACCAGACAGATAGCTGTAAACCCATATTATTTTAAGGCTCACAACATATTAACATTACCAAGTCAATATATCCTGGAAGCAGCATTGTTTGTTTTTTTAAGCAAAATTCCGACCTTTTTCTTGGACACATTAGGGGACATTGCTATGATACAAGGGGAAGGACTCATCTTGTCAATGTGAGAAGCAATTTTATGTGTATACAAAAAAAAAAGTTCAATTTTCAATTTAAAAAAAATTATAATGCACTATCTACAAATTATGAAAGCTTGGCAATTACCATTAAGCATAAGTTGAAAAACCACTTACTTCAGAGGGCTTACTCCTCGGTGGAGGAATTTTATAAGGACAATTTAAACAGCAAAAATTGCATAAGGTTTAATCCAATATATTTTTATGCTCAATATGATATTCTTATATTTTAATGTGTATAAATGTGTTTGTAAGTTAACTTCTTTCAAATTTCAAAGTCAAACAGGTAATTCGATTTAGTTTTTAGTTTGTAATATTAGATGTAGGTATTTCAATTGACACCAAGTTCTATGTCTGGGCTTTTGTTATAATATTCACTATTTACATATTTACAATTGTGGAACTGATAAATGCTAGGACTGAGGCTAGGACTATGGCTATGACTATGACTAATAGATTTGAATAGATAGATAAATTAATAGATCTCTGATGCTCCAGCCTTTTTCAACAAATTGCCACCTGGCATAAAAGCCCTACCAGATAAACTTTTTGTGAGAACTGTGAAAGAAATGCTGTGTGAGTGTGGGGCAGTATTTCATAGCTTCAGTGAATTTTTGCAGGCAGATCTTGGTCAGTAAAGTCTCCAACTTATGTTTTTTTGATGTTGCGGTCTGTTTTTTTTTTGTGTTTATCTATTTATTTTTAGTATTTTATTTTTTTGTAGGTAGTGCTTTTATTATTCTGTGTATTTTACCCTCACAGACATTCTAGGCGTGAAAGTGGATTTCTTGTATGTCAAATTAACTTTTATAGAGGATTATGAATTTTTATTATGATGAATGCGAGGGGTCAATCACTTTGCTTACAAATGTACAATGATTTCCATATTTGGCAATCATTGATCAATAAATCTCACATATTCCCATCCTAAGAATTGCGACTGATTGCCAATGATTTTCAGATATTTTTGTATGATTACCAGATTCCCTTTTTTCTGGGGATTCCTATAAAAAAATCTCCATATGTTGCACACTTAAATAATCACACTGTACATTCCCAATTGATAACCTGATTGATGCTTTCCTACAACTATCTGATTTCTAGTTGATTTTATTACGATGTCTAATTGTTAAGCTTCACATTGATATGACCAAAATAAACAGTCTGCACTCTTATACAAACTCGTTTTCACTGAAAAATTGGCAACTTCTGTATTGGCAACTCTTGCAAAAGTTAGCAACTTTTATTTTTATGGTTGTCCACACCCACACCGATTTTGTTGTAGGTATAAATAGTTGTTGAGCCATAGATACCATTTCGTGTCCACACTGCATAATATGGATCTGAAGTGATGGATATTTCTTTGATTTCACTAGGATTTTCATCTGAATCACAGACATCTCCAGTTAGGGTTTCACTCGACAAACTTATTTCTGATTCTGATTCAGATGTGCTATCGTCTCTGTTTCTCGTACTGCCTAGTATTTATTCTACTTTCCCCTTTGCCTTTTCAAGTTCTTATTGCCTTGGATTCCCGACGTTTTCTTTTGTGTCTTTCTCAGGGACATTCCTATAGCTCTTAATACTCGATCAACAAACCTCCCTGCTTCTCTGAAAAGAACCAAATTGAAGTTGAGCCCTTAATAATCTTTAAATTATAGCGAATCGCAATTGCTAAACCCTGATGTGTGAAGAAATTCTGTGTCTTTTTTTGGCAAGTCGGTTTCGAGAGATTCATGTTTTTATTTTTATGCTCTACAACATTGTCATACCTACTTTAGGTCTATTTTCACAGCAATCACAAACCAGTCAGAACGAATTTCATTGGTTCAAAATAGTCAGAAAACTGGTTGTTGGCGATTTGCACCAATCAAAAACGCTCTGACTGGTTTGTGATTTCTGTTAGAACAGACCTATAATCTTCATCTCGTTCTTCTTCTTCTTCTTCTTCAAGTTCTAAACTCTTCGTAGTTTCGGGTTCAGTTATTGGCTCAGCTATTGGAAAACTCGTTGGGATATCAATTTCATTTCAAATTGTCTAGCACTCATTGCCTTAAACTTAGTCTTAAAGGCAAATACACAACTGACCAGTACGCTGTATCATTTATAATGTATGATTTGCGTTTTCTGGGTTAGAATGAGATGATATTCCCAGTGATTACCACATGATTCTCAGCGATTGCCAATGTATTCTTATGTTATTCCCATGGAGTCCTAGGAGATTCCTAGCAATTCCTAGGTTATTCCTAGGGACTCCCAAGTGATTTCCATGTATTCCTGACTGATTACTAAGTATGTGATTCCCAAAAAAATGTACAATGATTTCCATTAGTGGTTTAGCCCTCGGATGAATGTAAAATTTTATTATTATGGGAATAAAATAAATTTTACTTTATTCTACTTTTATAGGATCTATGTCTTAAATCGTTCTTCAGCGTACATCCTTATTTTAGGTATTTGATAAATAAAACATTTGCTTCCTTGATTTTTTCGAGGATTTTTTCATCTGCAAGCCATATTTCTCTAATATCTTCATGAGAACAAACCTTTGTAGCAATAAATTAGGTTTCCCATCGTTTGTGTCTTACATCAGCAGTAAAGTTTTGTTATGTACTCGGTTATGTGTTAAAAACAAAGGGTGTAGTGAACATAAAAGGGAAAGAGGAAGAAAGCGAATCTCGAGAGCTGAAAAAAAAATATTGATATGGTAAGGTTTATTATAAGAAATTTCCAACCTAAGCTGTCGGAGCTAAGAAAATTGTAAGAATAATTGGGATTTCGCGTACTTCAGTTCAAAGAACCAATAAAGAAGATTGCCATCTAAAAATATTTAAAAAATCCAACGTGAGAGAAAAACGTTTGGAAAGATGTAATTTATTGCTAAGAAGGTTTCGTTCTCATGAAAGTATTACAAAAATATGGTTTTCAGGGGAAAAAATGTTTTATTCGAGACCACCTCAATAATATACTGTTAAATGAAAAAAAAGTCATTTCTCAATAGGCGTTGTTAGGTCTGTTTCCACAAAAATCACAAACTAGTCCAAGCGAATTTCATTGGTTGCAATTAGTCAGGAAACTGGTTGTTGGCGATTTAGACCAATCAAAAACGCTCTGACTGGTTTGTGATTCCTGTAGAAACAGACCTATGGTGTCTGTGGCAGTATCCATGTTGGAAACATCTAGTCTAATTTTGTTGATGCTGGAGTAAAACTTAAATCGCAAACATACCATTAACCTAGGGGGGTTTATTTGAAATGTGCAATTGAAATTCGTCTCAGTAAGTCGCATTTTTTTCTGGTATTTCACTGCTAAAAATTGCGACTTACTGAGACGAATTTGAATTGCACATTTCAAATAAAGCCCCCCTGGAACTGAAGAAGTTTGTGACAATTACACTTTCCAACAAGATGATGGTGCTCCGTCGCACAGTTCCCTCAATATTAAAAGGATTTACTTGAATGTTAGATGAACACAAGAAGAAGGTAAACAATCCTGGTGGCCATATTCATAATATTTTATTCTAAATTATAAATTATTTAGCTGTTGTGTTAGTTGTGTTAGGTATTTGTTTAAATGTACCTATTATTTATTTCCCTGTTTCAATAAAAATATAATATTTCATGAATCCATGAAAATCAGGTAATTTTTTTTAATGAGGTTTTCTGGATAGTTCACCGCTTATTATTCCCATGAAAACAAAACAAATCGCCATAAAAACAATTGGATTGAAAAATATGAAGGTCGCTGTGGGTAATTAAAAACGCTTTCGTCGAGATTTGAGACACGTTTAGCACATAAATTTTGTTACCATTATTTATATTGCAAAAGGCATTTTTTTCAAGGGCATATTGGAACGTTGCCCTACATTTATATGCATTTTTGTTACTCATTGTACTTGTAGGTTTTGGAATATAGGATCTTTTCAATCACCCCAGGATTTTTTGAAAATAACCAGCTCTTGGGGGTTATTGAAAACATGTAACTATGTACAGGTTTTTTCCCCATATATTGACCTCCTCTCAGGTAAAACCCGAAAACTTTTGTATTTACAATTTTTTGATATTCCTTCATATAACCCCTGTAGTGGGGGGGTCAATATATGGGGAAAGATCCTATACCTATTTAAAATAAATGATCAAGCGTTGGGGCAGATGAAAACATTTGAAATATTCTCTACTTTTGAGTCTGGGTGTCTTCCAAAACCTGCTCACCCCTATAAATTTTTTATTTTTACTGAGATTTTTACAAACACACTAATGAAATTTGTTGTGCTCATTTATAACCCGACTGTGTATTATTTGACGTATTCAATTACTTGTTATCATTTCCGGTTTGACCCTAAGTTTCTTATTTTGCATGATACCCAGGTATATTTTCCCTTATTTCAATAGAAAATTACATTACGATTACAGTGACACCTCATTTGTCACTTTTTGACATTTTATCTCCAAATTATTTAAATTTTTAATTTTTAATCTCTCATTGTCGGTTAAAAATAAACGCTTGCATTGTAAAACAATAATTTTCTATAACTAGGTATGTATCGTCATAAATAAAAAATAACGTTTCGATTTTCCTGTTTCTCCACTAGAAGCCGGATTCTTGATGCTAGCATTGTATTAATAACCTCATTTTGTAATAATAATACATTATAGCTTTGATTTTGGGTACTTTTATTTGAAAATAAAATAAAATTATTTTTTTAAATCTTGATAATCGTCCTTTTTTTGAAAATAAAATGAAATAACGAATTGATTAATACCAAAATTGCCCAGATTTTTTTTTTTTTTTGAGACGTTACCTTGTCTTAATCAAACCCGAGTAGTGCACTGTGATAAGAATCTATGTTACAGGAAATATGGTCATCAAGCCCATAGTAAAACGAAACGTGAGGATCCTCTTAGTAGGAGATCAAGGCGTAGGAAAGACGTCTTTGATACTGTCTCTGGTTAGCGAAGAATTTCCCGAAAATGTTCCATCAAAAGCTGAAGAAATTACAATACCGGCTGATGTAACACCTGAACAAGTTCCTACAAACATTGTGGATTATTCAAGTTCAGAACAAAGTGAAGCAGAATTAAATGAAAGCATTCGGAGGGCTAGTGTTGTCTGTATTGTTTACGCGGTGGATGATGATGAATCCATTGAAAGGTAGGTAATACAACTCTTTACATATTATTATGAGTTCCAATAATAAAATCAAAAAAAGCTTTATTGTCCAAAATACATGGTATTTATTGACAAAGCTTTACAACTAATTACCTGAGGGGAATTAGGGGTGTTAGGAGGAACACACTTCCTAGTCAGTAAGTTGCACCAAGGGAAACAACAGGTAGTGCCCTCTAAGGAGGTTACTCGCCGAAAAATTTCTCTGTAATTGATAGCCAGGGTTTGAGAGAGGTAGTCCAGCAGCCCCACTTTAAATTGTAGGTCATCGCCTTATTGACCTGAGGAAGCGGAAATCGGGGAGAAAATTCATAAACAAACTATACTTTTCCTATTTAACATTTTGCTTTTAAAATATTTGACATTTGAAATAAGGTGAGTAATTATTTTGTCTGTTCTAGAATATCTTCCTACTGGATGCCTCTCATTAGACAGAATTATCCAGATACACAATGTCCAGTGGTTCTTGTGGGAAATAAAATAGATGTTGTTGACTATTCAACTATTGATGTATGTGCTATTAAATTTGCTTTAAAGATTTTTAATGTAAATACTTTTTCAGGGCATTTACGAAGTAATGGAAGAGTTTTGCGAAATTGAAACCTGCATTGAATGTTCTGCTAAAACATTAAAAAACATTTCAGAAATGTTCTACTATGCCCAGAAAGCTGTTCTTCACCCTACTTCCCCAATATATTCTGTTGAAAAAGCTGATGTAGGGCTTGAAATAAAAATAGGTTTTTTTCAATTTTCATCAATATGATATTGTAGCTAACAGATTCTTGCAAGAGGGCCCTTACAAGAATTTTCAAAATATGCGACATCGATTGTGATGGACTTCTAAACGATATTGAACTAAACAACTTCCAGTCTCGATGTTTCAATGCACCACTTCAACCCCAAGTGCTTGATGATGTAAAGGCTGTACTAAGAAAAAATTTGGAAGAGGGTGTGAGCCAAAACAGTGTCACGCTAAAAGGGTTTTTATACTTGCATAGTTTATTTGTTCAGCGAGGAAGAAATGAAACTACATGGACAGTTTTGAGAAGGTTTGGCTATAATGACAACTTGAATATGTCTAAGGATTATCTATATCCCAGGTAAAATTATATTAAATGTTGATTTTCAAGTGAAATATCTATGATTTTTTTAGCATCAAAGTACCATCAGGTTGTACAACAGAACTTTCACACCGAGGCCATCAGTTCCTGACACATATTTTTGAACGATTCGATAAAGATAGAGATAAAGCACTTTCACCATCTGAATTTGAGGAGCTGTTTTCTACTTGTCCAACCCCAGCGTGGCCTCCTGATGTTGGAGATATGGTTGAGACCAATGAGAAAGGTGAGACTTTATTGTGTTGAAGTGATTTTGTTTAAATTAAATAGTTTTGTAACATTCTACAAAGATCCTGTTTATGTATTTACATTAATTAAATAGGTTGGATAACATATCAAGGATACATGTGCGAATGGGCTCTAATGACTTTAGTGGATTTGCCAAGGACGTTTGAATATCTGGCTTATTTGGGATATAATATTTACGAGAACGAAAGTCAGCTCTCTGCAGTGATGGGTAATTATTTATATTTATTTAAATACATACGGCTATATTATCAAGTTTCATCATTTTTAGTTACAAGGGAGAAAAAGTTGGATTTAGCCAAAAAACAATCAAGCCGGAACGTATACCAGTGTCATGTTATTGGACCATCATCCTCAGGAAAATCAACATTCTGTAGGAGCTTTGTGAAGAATTATGATGATGTAAGCAAAATTTCATCATTTCAAAAAATTTATCTTAAACCAATATTTTCCAGCCGGCAAGTTTATTAACAGAAATCGGCAGCACACCAAATTGTACAATCAGCACAGTCCAAGTTTATGGACAAGAAAAAACCATGGTATTAAGAGACATAAATGTTAGAAATGTCTCTGATCCATTACTGCCACATGAAGTCCAATGCGATGTAGCTTGTCTCGTCTATGACATTAATAATCAAAAGAGTTTCGAGTATATTGCTCGGATTTACATTGTGAGTTTATTTATCTGTAGAAGTAGTTACCTGAAAGAAACAAATACTTGAAAACAAAAAAAGCAATTTAATCTAAATTATTAATTAGTTTGCATTTTTTTTTTTAGAAATATTTCGCCGACAGTAAAATTCCTGTACTTATCGTTGCTTGCAAAGACGATTTGGAAGAAGTGAGACAAGAATATTTATTACAGCCAGCGACTTTTTGTCAAAAATACAAAATTCTTCCACCACAAAGGTTCAGCGTCAAGGGACAATTTAGGAAGGATGTTTTTGTAAAACTGGCCACCATGGCGGCGTTTCCGTAAGCAAAATTTTTTAAGGTTTTGAACTACTTTTCTATTAAACAGGGATTTTTGTAACTTATGAAAATAAGTAGAAAACAAGTTCCAAAGAGAATTCTGGGTTTTTCAAATGTTCTCGGACATAGGAGGTCTGTTTCTACAGAAATCACAAACCAGTCGGAGCGTTTTTGATTGGTCCAAATCGCCAACAACCAGTTTCCTGACTATTTACAACCAATGAAATTCGCTCTGACTGGTTTGTGATTTCTGTGAAAACAGACTTAGGATCTTGTTTTTTTTATTTTGGTGGAAATTATTTTCAATGCTGTTTATTTTTGTTTTTCTCCCTTTTATTTTGTTTTTGATCGTTAGAGTTCAACCAAGTTATTAAATTTACCTCGGAAAGAGGCACAATTAACATTGAAAATAGGCCCCGTGAATTTCAACCAAATTTCAATATTTTAAGGGTGCAAAATAAAATTTGAAATGTAAAGAGGATCGTATGTCTGTGATAGCAGATATAGCATGTCAAAGTATGTAGGTCCTGCTATGCTATGCATAGTTAATATCCCTACGTAGATTTTCTTGAATATCTCGAAAAATACTTGCATTGTATTTTTATTTTAATTATTTTAATCTTGGTACTCTATGGCCCTGGAATTATTTTTGTATACTTTTTTTTCCCCCTTTTACAGTTTTGTCAATGAGAATTTTGTTCTTAGACAATAAAGCATTTTTTGACTTTTGACTTACTAATCCGATTTTGCCTTTTTGAAGTTTGATACCTACAAAAGGACCACAAAAACGTCAAAATCGGATTAGTATTTTTCAGGATATTCAAGAAAATCTGCTTAGGGATATTTCCTCGGATATTTCCTATGCATCGCATAGCAGGACCTACGTACTTTGATAAGCTATATCTGCTGTCGCAGACATACAATCCTCTTTACATTTCAATTTTTTTTTTGCAATGATGATACCTTTAAAATATTGAAATTTGGTTGAAATTTATGTTAATTGTGCCTCTTTTTTTACTTAAAATATCAGTTTATCGCAGTTATATATAATTCTGAGAACATTGATAAATATTTGTTCTGGTTTTGGGGATGAAAAATGCTTGAAAGCAAATCCAATGGACCCTCATTGGAGATCATCACAAATTGTTTGAACAAATTCATCTACTTAATTTTAAAAAAAAGACAATGCAGTTTTTATTCTTTGAGCTTTGAACTGAAAAGTTGGATTTTAGGGAAGATCATACCCACAAACTAACTTAATTTTTTTATAGTCGGTTTCAAGCTGCCTGGATATTATTTTATAAGCGCAGGTTTGTGTTTGAATTTTGGCTATTGTTATTAATGTCTTTTATAAGATAAAGCCTATTTTGTAATTACCAGATTATATTCAATGTTTTGGTGAGCTTAAATTAGCAAGCTAAAAAAATCGAAAGGAATTTTGATGAACAAAAAAATTATAATATAAGATGGGCTTTAAAAAAAATTACTTTGGGTGTTCAGCACCGCTTAGTATCCATCAATTTTCACATCTACATTACTTGCACTGTTTCTTCGTCAGAGAAGCAACAGTATCATAAATGCCAATAATATAGCTTCATTATGTATTTTGACGTGTAATTTTTGTTTTCCAGTCCATTACGGCGCATGGTTCATATGTTGTTGTTGCGTCCACAACCCTCAGAGTGGTTAAACGAATTTTGCAGGTTGCTAATACAATACATTTTTGCCAATGTTATTGTTTACTCTAACAAAATATCATTTTTGATTTAACCTTCTAATTGGCAACCATTTTGATTTTAAACTCTTGGAAATTAACCTTATTAACATTTACTGACTCATACAACCTGGTACCTTTCACTTTCATAATTAGACCTGTAACTAAAGTTGTGCATGTTTCACTTAAACTTTGTTTTTTAATTCGTTTTACCTTACTTTCATTTTACAGTAATTATGAAAGTGGACTTTTAGGACGGGTTTTTTTTTTTTGTGCAGAAATTAGGCTCAGTTTAGTTACATACATATTATCAAGTTTTAGTTGTAGTAGATTCATATTCAACTCAACCGAGCTTGAGCTTTGCTAGTAGGATTAATACCTACAGTTTGATTTGCTTGCCTGTGTGTTGTGCCTAATCCAAAATTTGATGTTATGCAAATTCGCTGTACTTTTGAAATAATAATCTTACGAGAAAATTAAACTTTAATTTTTATACCTTGCATGCATAATGTTAAATAACCACTCAAACATGAAGTGGATATATTTTTTTTTAAATATGATGCAAATTGATTATGGTCAATTTTTTTTATTCACCGATGGATCCATCGATGTCCAGTCTATCTTTGTCTTGTTCGTAGAGAATAGGAATGACTGTCTCATTATGCCGGCAGCAGATGGATCCATCCATGAATAAAAGAATTCGCCCTATACTGGGTGAGGAGGGCCTGGGTCTGGCAAATGCTAGTTCTAGGTGTTGCATAAACAAACAAAAAAACTATGTAGAAGATAATATTAGGCAAGAATTTATAATATGATGTTTTTAAAATTATAGATGTATGAAATATTTGGAGAAATTTACTCATAATCATCTGATATGTACTTTTTTTCCTGTATGTTTGCTAGCCAAGTGCTATTAAATAAAAATTATTGATTATGATTTGTCCTAAATGTAACCTACTGGAAAAATTCAAGAATCTTGCTATCAGTTTATTTTGCACCATTATGTAAAATGCTTAAAATTTTGCATGATCCTTTGAAGAAAAAAAAAACAATAAATTGTTAATAACAATTGGTTCATTTATAGGAACTTCCGCGAATTCGGAGTCATCTCAAACGACCCAAGTATATGGTGGAAAGCTGGTTTGAGCCTGGCAGCAGTGACAGCTCTTGGACTTTTGGTGGCCAAAGTACTGCATATTAGCAATAAAATCAGATAAATGCATACTTCTTTTAAAGTAGTTTTGCATATACATACTCCAAATTTTCTTTGAAATATATGGTCTCCATATTCATGGTGCTTGTTTCACTTGTGATGTTTGTCAGACAATAGTTATTTTGTAGTGGTCGAGGCTCTCGAAGCCATATATAATTTGGAGGGATTGTTGATTTTTTCGAGTTTGTGGGCCGTCGTCCAGAAAAACGACGCAATTGGAACTAGATCGGTACCGGTATCTGCAGCGAAATATTAATACCACCTGTGTTACCAGGTACAGCATCAATTGCCAACGAAATTTTCATTGATCAGATCAGATTTTTGAATATGCCAGCCAATTTAAGATACATGTCCCACAAACCCCAATAAGTCACCAATGCTTCTATAGTTGATTTGTTTCTTTCGAATGTGTGAGAGACCGTTTTCTTTTTGATATTTGAAAAAAACTTCTGATGTCCAAAAAATAATAGAAACCAAATGGTGCAATCCTTACGAAATAATTTTTAAAATTGTTACTATTACTATAATTATTGTGTACAAAGCATTTGAATAAGGTTGCTGTAAGATATATCTTCTCATTTATAGCCATAATAATAGCTTTTAGCTATTTGAATAAATAACATTTTCCTTCGTAAGGCAATATGGCTTATTTTTGCTAGTCAATCAATATTGTTTTTTCTATTTCATAATATGGAGAAACTTAAACCTTCAAAAGGTTGTTTCTTTAAGTATTTTTTTCCTTAATTAAAAACCAAAACTTTTTCTAGATATGTACTAAAATAAAAAATCTTGTGTTCAACTGTGGATAGTTTCTGTAGTATTTCCTATATTTTTTCATTGGGTGCATTATTAAATAAGACTGTAAACGATTTTAATATAAATTACAAAGAATATAAGTTCAGAATCCGTTTTTTATTTACAAGCCTACACATAATATGGGTGGTAATGAATAAAAACCTTCAGTATTTTGATTATTGCCTAATGTTTGGAGGCAGGGATTTATAAGTAATGGTATTGATTAAATTCAAATTCTTTATTCATGTTATTATACCAAGTGTAGTACTTACACAAATCAAAAATGCAATACAAAAATAGTTTAAAAAGAAAGCACTATTCATTATACATCACATTTTTAAAAGATAATATTACAATTAAAAAATTCACCCACACAATAAAATCCTTTACTGAGAAGAAAATTTTTGACAGCCCTTCTAAAAGTAGTGGCGGGGGCATCTCCCAAACGTGAGGGGACAGCTAATTAAAGAACCGGACCCCAATAAAGCCAGGGCCATCTTGACTTCTTTTAAGCCGTCTATGCAGAGGCACTAGTTGTCCACGGTTGTGAATCACATAAGAATGCACGTTCTCATATCTGTCGAGATTATGCAGGTTGTTTCTCACGCGCAGGACACATTCAAGAATGAATTGAGCGGGGACGGTCAAGATCCCTAGGGACACAAACGCGTGTTGACAGTTATGACGGTATAATAAATTGGCAATAACCCTAACTGCACGCCTTTGAACACGGAAGACATCTTTGCGCCAGTACAATGGATGTACAATGGCCCCAAATCAAAATTGCGTATAGGATATATGAGAGTGCAAATGCCTGTCTCAGGACGGACCGAGAGACACTGTCCGACAGCCTACGAAGTAAAAAGGTGTTTGAACTTAATTTGGAAACCAAGGAAGCTGTGTGATGATTTCATCTTAGATGATGGCTAAGAATTTAGCAGTGATATCATCTTCCGGAAGCCATCTCATGGAAAAGGCCATGTTTTGAGTTTTGGCCTTGTTCAAGAACAAGTTGTTGGCTGTGAACCAGAGCTCTGCCCTTTCCTGCGCCTCACGCGCCGCAGTCCTAGCTCCCTCATAATCATGGCTGGTGCAGGCTATAATAGTGTCATCCGCGAAGAGGGTGTACTGGGCGGTGTGATTTGCTTGAGGTAGATCATTGATGTAAATAAGAAAAAAAAGGAGTCCCAGAATTGAACCCTGTGGTACACCAACCAGTACCTTCTTCTCCGTTGACTATACACCACCGACCCTCACGTGAAACGCAGTCAAAGGCTTTGCTAAGGTCGCAGAATGTACCGGATAGGTATGTATCATTTTCAAAGGCAGATCAAGTTAAGAACAGCTGATGTTGTATTTAAGCCACTCCTGAATCCGAATTGGCTGTCTGTAAACAGGTTCTCGGTCTGGAAAAAGTTTATGATGCGTACGGCAAGAAATTCCTCAAAGATCTTTGACAGTATTGGCAGTAGTGATATCAGTCTATAATTCAAGGGATCAGCAACATTCCCTTTTCTATAGACCGGTACCACATCCGCACTCTTTAGGAAAGACGGAAAATTATTCTCCCATGGACACTCATTTATTAGTTTAGTTAGAGGGATTATTATCACCACTTTGATACCTTTAATGATTTCAACTGTGAAACTAAAACAAGGTGAAATATTTGGTGTTTCAGACTTTTGACTTGATACCCTCCGTTGCTCATTGATAATATTCCACATACACTTTGTGGGATTTGTGGCACTCCTAATTAGATTATTATTAGCTTCTATTTTTGCTGCTTTTATAGAAGACCGATAAGATTTTTTGTAATTTATGAATTTTTGTTTGGTCTCTGGTGAAGAATATTGAATTGAAAGTTCTCTTGAAAAGTTTAAAATTTCTCTCATTGATTTTAAGTCATCATCGAACCAGTTGATGGCTCGATTTTGATTGTTACGGTTTACATACGTTTTTTGAGGGAATGCATGTATTAGAGTTATTATTACTTAGATAGAGTTATAGAGTTACTAAAACATCCAAAAACAGAAAAAATTTGGATTAGTAACTGTGTGATTTAGATTATTTATATATAATTTTGATAGAAAGAGACGAAAAAACCTCCAATTGAATTACGTTTTTTCACAGCTGAAGCATGACAGCGAACCAAGTATAAACCCATAGTTTTTCTACCTTGCATCATGCTTGTCATCTCATAGTTCTTATTATTAAAATATTATTGAAAAATATGGTATACATAGTTAAACGTGGTAGGTCTCTGGTCTGGCTTGAACCTGGCTACATTTGAAAAATATTGGCAAATAAAAAACATCAAATGCAATTTTTTGGTTTGGATAATCCTATACAGGGTGCCAACTAATTCCTAGGAACAGTATTACTATCTCGGAAACCGTTAAACTTATGAAGGCGATTAAATTAGAAAAAAGTTAGAATTTTTTATGCTTATCAAAAATAAATATAATTTTGTTGTTGTCAAATTTCTTTTAGTTTTGGAACACAAGGGGAATTATGAAAATTGTCAAAAAATGCTTTCTTGAATATTCAGGGTAACGGTTGGTTTTAGAAACACACTTTAAATTTGAAAGTTTTATAGTTTTATCCGCTCTACAACGTGACATGCCCAAATGTTACATACCGACATCGTCATAGACTTCAATTAATAAATACGGCCTAGAGATTTTTCATATACCTACCTATTTTTTTAAAGTGCTATTCAATAGGTACCTATTAGCTGTTTAACGATATAATCAACGTTTCTGCTCCAAAAACTCATCACTAATTTTTATCCAAGATGTCCACAGTAGAAAAAAGTGTTTGTTTAACCTTTTATTTTTTACAACTAACAGATTCCAGGGTTGAAATAATGGACATTTTTGATAAAAATTACTGATGAGTTTCTAGAACCAAAACTTAATAACTGATAATACAAAAACATTCAAAAAAGCACAGCTGGAATCTCAGGTACCTAAATGAATCAGCATAAAATTCTGCCATGGTGTAATATGCCTACCAACCAATGGCTCTGTCAAAGGCGACTAGCAAAAAAAAGGAAACCTCTTTTTTTTGTGGTCAATTTCAATCTCTCGGGTTTTTTACCTGAAAACAATTATTTGGCAACCCTGTCTCTGTGCGAAGACGCGACGAACGTGGATGGTGTTCGACTTCGACGTGGGATCAGAGCAGGGGCGGATGGGGAACATAAAACCAGCCCGGGAAACCGTTGGCACCGGCCGGGCCTGCTAGGTCAGTATTTTATTTTGGAGGCTGTTGTCAATGAATCGCGCCGCAGCCAATTTTTTTTTTAAGTTCAATGTCACGCAGCTTAAAAACCTACTGATCCCAATTTTTTTTTGGATTATTTTATAGGGGTAACACAAAAAACTCTGGATGGAACTTCCTGACTCAAGCAGTCCAAAGTCTTCATGGAAGGACCATCTAAGAGCAAAACAGAACTGCTAGGCTTAAGCAGGAGACAATTAAGAGATGTGGTTGGATTGTTGACAGGACACTACCCTCTCAGAAAACACCTCAACACAATGAAGCTAGGAGAAGACTCGATGTCAATGTCCTAACCTCAGATGGCAAATACAGCGGCACTTTGGGACACAGTATCCGAAACCAAAGGAAATCATGAAAGCGAATATCAGGGACATCCTATAGGTTTTACTAAGGGAGTGGACCTGATATGAGAACTTAAGGGTCCTTATTCTTGAAACAGGGGAGCAGCGTTCGCAGGAGAACGAGTGTTCCGTCTTTCTCAATGATATGCAAATGATAATACAATAAGTAACAAAGAAGGAACATTGGGTTCTCCTGGGAACTCGGCTCCCCTGTTTCAAGAATAAGTACCTGGGGGGGGGGGGGTGGGGGGGGGGGGGGGGGGGCACAGTGAGCCATGAGATACAGTGCAGGTGTCCGCATACCTCAGGAGAGAATAGAATAGAATAGGGGTATTTGGAAATAAAAATATGAAATACTCATATTTCAAAAACATTCTATGTATTTTTCTAAATCTTGGATCAGGAAATTTTGATTTTTGTGGCTTGATTTAGTAATAAATTAATGAATAGTGGGGATAGGGCCCTACGGCCAATTTTTATTTTTTCAGAAGCACACAAAAAATAGAAATTGACGTGTCGGAGAGGAAAGTCAGGAAAGTGTTAATTTGAGAGGAACAGGGCCAGTAAATTTTTTCTTATTTATCCAATGGCAACTTTGACAGTGAATATCTTGAGAACTATTCATTCGATCTTCAAAAAAAATACGCATAGTTGAGACGAGAATCAAAATACCTCTAAAACAAGGTACCGCTCTTCCCTAAAAAAGTGGGGTGAAAGTCACCCCACCCAGAGGGTGACTTTCACCGAAATACCGATGGGGTCAAAAAGTTTCCCCCTTGAATACAAAAATGACGTGTCCGAGCGTTTTCTTTTAAATCGACCTTAAAATACCTTAAAACGATTCTGTTTCGACGTCCGTGAAACACCCTGTATGCTTCTGGGCCGGTTGGACCGGCCCGGAAGCAAGCGGCCCTTCGGGAAACTTCCCAAAATCCCTGTTGGCCCATCCGCCCCTGGATCAGAGATAAAACGCGCGAAAAGTCCGCGCCAGGGCCGTATATAAGAGGGGGGTTTAGGGGGTTCAAACCCCCCCATGCATATTCTTTTCTTAAAAAATAATCGCCAATAAAATGTACAACTAAAATCAAAAAATAAGTATAAAATAATCAATGTGCCTACCGAAAAAACCAAAAATCTGCAAAAAGTGCATACTGCAATCAGTCCAGTTATCTAGGGTTACATGCGTCATAGTCATGGGATCAATCTTTTAAAAATATTTATAATGAAGTAGGAAAGCTTGTTTTAGGTATGGGTGGAGAGATCAAAAAAACTTGGGACTGTAAGTCGCCAAACTCAGCGTGGAAATGTTCCGGCTGAAAATCCTAAGCAGTACTATTTTAGAAATCACTAGGTACATTCTGTTCATAGATCATGTTATAGTTGAGTTAAAAGATCGTTTTTCTGAGCATCACAAATCCATTTCATATTTACAGTTAGGTACTCATACCACAGAAAAATGTTCGGCCGCTAAACTTCAAATATTTGAACCTATTTGTGAATTATATGACAAAAATTTTTCTCTATTCAAGGCTGAATAAGAAATGTGGCAAAAGAAATGGACTAATAATGATATAATGGTAGTGGTAACCATTTGCCAGATGAGTCCTTTTTTCCAATTATTAAAGATCTTTTACAAATCAACTTTACCTTGCTCTACGGCAACACCAGAGAGATCTTATTCAACTCTAGACGCCTAAAATCTTGGCTAAGAAATTCAATGGTGAGCGAACGTTTGAAAAGTTTAACTCTAATGTCAGTTCACAGAGAAATGGATGTTAGTTCCAAGGATGTCATAAATAGATTCTGTCTAAAAAACGCAATATAATCATATGAACTTTTTTCAATAAGAATATTGTTGCTTCTAAATTAATCAGATTTTTTCTTGCCCCCCCCCCCCCCCCCCCCATGACCAACCCCTAGCTACGGCCGTAGTCCGCGCTAAAACCCATTTTTTGCTTTAACTTTTATCCTAGATCGAAATTGAAAAATCCGTTCGGTTCTAGCCAGTATCCCAAAGAACAACTGTTCCAAATTTGCGAATTCTAGCTCAAGTAATAACGTCAGAATGGCTTCGAAAGACATATAAAACTCCCATTAGCAAATTATAGGTATGTTTCTGCAGGAATCACAAACCAGTCAGAGTCAATTTCATTGGTTGAAACTAGTTTTCTGACTGTTTTCAACCAACGAAATTCGCTCTGACTGATTTGTGATTTCTGCAGAAACAGACCTTATATACAGTAGATATTTAATGCCCCATGCCATGATGATTTGGCGTTAGATTGATTGGACTTGACTGCTTTTCCGTTCTTCAAGATTTTTTGCTGTTTCACCGTGTGCTGGGCGACCACTGGGTAAACGTTTAGGTACTACCTTTGGTAACTCATCCTCGGCGCCGTCTACTTACTGATGTTGTCTGAACCCTAATATGAGTATTATGCCGATGCCATAGTGGCACACAGCTACTAGCAGTACCTAAAATACTTTCCCAAGAAGGTTGCGTCATCATGTCATGTGACCCAGTTATTTGAAACTACCTCTCTCTAAAATTGGCTACCCGAAAAATGCGATTTACGTTCTTGTCAATTCAATGGTCTGTTCTATACAGGGTGTTCATTTTAAAACTTACCACACCACCCATATTAATATATCGGACTTTAAACATTTTCGAAAAAATTCCTGAAACACGTCGTCAACTATAATTTGAAGGGGGATAAGTTATTATGCAAAATTCACCTCCCCCCTTTCAACCCCCCAGCCACCAAAGCCACCGGAGGTTAAATTCATTTGGAATTTTCAATTATGATTTAAATTCAAAGTTAGTGTCAAATTATAGTTTATGAAAATCTTAGACAAGAATGTAAGAACGGTTTTCCTCTAAAATTAATCGTTTAGGTTTTACAGCTTGTCAAAGTTGCAAAAAAGTCAATTTTCAACTGTCAATATTTCTAAAACAGTTGAACTTGAGTATTAAAATTTAGTACCAAAATGTATGGAATCACTGACCCCCCTTCCCATTTAGGATTTTATAGGGGGTGGCTCTGGGGGCTGGGGGGTTGAAAGGGGGGAGGTGAATTTTACATAAAAACTCATCCCCCTTTCAAATTATAGGTGACGTGTTTCAGGGATTTTATCGAAAAAATTTCAACTCCGAGATAATAGGGGTGGTAAGTTTTAAAATGAATACCCTGTATAATAGAGCAAACCTCACATTTTATGAGAACACATGTTAGCACGATAAAGTCCACCACATTGAAAGTGTTTCAATGATTCAGGCAAACTCATCTTGCGTGTAAAACACAAGAACGCATAAAGCAACGTGTCAAAGAGACCGCATCCCGCCGCAAAGTTGTAGCAAAGAGGAACACGAAGGGAGTGGAGAGCTGATTTAACATAAAAAACGCGCCAAACGCATGGCAACATTCTGACCTGAGGTGTTTTCTCGTCTCAAAGTTTTGAAACATTTTTCAGAACTGGTGTAAAACAGTTTCACAATGACGTCATAACTTCTCGGCGCGAGAAAATGGTTTAAAAAAGTGTATTGAATTCTATTTCGAAGCGTTTTGAACCAATTTTTTGTGACGTCATGGGTTCATCGCGAAAATATACTATTTCAAACCTGTTTTGATTTTGAACCATTTTCAGAAAAGTGAACGCGAGAAAACAGCTCTGATGCTCAGCACTGTCTAACATAAGCACAACCTCGGATGGCTGATAACTTCGTTCATTTACAAAGAATTTAAACAAACATCTTTTTTTGTAACAACTGAACACAACTAAAGTGAAACTGAAGTGATTGCTCTGTTCAGATTCATTTAATTCAGTTTCACTTGTTCATTTCATTCTAAACGAAAAAATATTACTATTGTTGATACGCCACTTTTTTAAAAAACATTTTAAAATTATTCGCTTGTCATTCTAACATCTGTATACTTTTTTTCCAGAAAAAAAAAAACGCTTATGAAAATAAAATGATTTGAAAATCGAATTTCCAAACTGCTACGAAAACGCGGTATAGGAAAGTGACGTCATTTTCCCAACAATGCGAGGATGTCGAATTTCTCATAAGTAAATCATTAAACACCTCACTACCTGGAAACTATGTTTGTCCTTCACTACTTTATAAAAAAATAAAGGATAGGCATAATCGTTGAACCGTTGTGAACTCAACTCATTTAAATTTCGCATTTTTAAATTCGCTGCGCATTAGCCAATAAGATGGCGTCTAAGGATGGCGTTTTCAGTCAGGTGATTTTTTGTTCAAATTTGCTATGTTTAATTATCAATTTATTGAATAAAATCTTGCAGGATATGTTCATTCTCGGTTGCATCCATGTATCTGCGTCAAAAAATATCATAATTTGTCATATTCCTGGCACGTGAAAGTGGACCGTTAACAGGTTTCTATAAGGAATAGACTTTTTTTTTGCATTACCTCTAAAAATGTCAAATGTCACATTTTCATTATTGCCAACATTGCCAACTTGAAAATATATCCCAAACTATGGAAATTTGTCAAACGATTTGTTCAAAATCAGTAACGTGATTTATCAATTTAGCATTACAAATAATTATCATTAATTTTTATTCTGATAACAAAGTTCTCGGATGTTTATTTTTAAGTGAATTAAACTAGCATCATCATCATGTCTACGCGCAGTTCAGAAGAACTAATTGAGATGGCTAAATTGGCTGAACAATGTGAACGTTATGAAGAAATGAGAGCAATGATGAAGCAGGTCATTGAAAATGGTGTGGAGCTGACTACTGAGATAATAACCATGCTGTCTATCTCCTACAGACGCAAATCAACCGCCCTGCGTAAATCTCGCAACAAAATTATTGCAATTGAAAAGAAAACTCGAAAATCTGAACACAAACTTATACTGGCAATGCAATATAGAGAAGAAATTCAAGCCGAACTACATAAAATATGCAATGAAGTTATTTTGCTGTTGGACAAATATCTAATTCCGAAAATAGTCGATATGGAATCAAAAGTCATGCTTCTCAAAATGAAAGCCGATTATTCGTGTTATTTAGCAGAAATTGCTACTGGAGATGAAAAAAAAAACATAAAATATTATCCAGGTCAGGTTTACAAAAAGGGGTATGAAATGGCAGTTTCATCTGCAAAAATGCCACCAACTCATCCGCTTAGACTGGCCATAGCCCTTAATTGGTCAACCTACTACTATTCCGTTCTTGGAAACCGGAAGAAAGCTCAACTGCTTGCCCAACGTGTTTTGGACGACGCCACACTGGAGCTGCACAAGGTTCCGAAGAATGTAGTCCAGAAAACCATTGATGTAATGAAGATCATTTGGGACAACATTGTAATTTGGGATAAACAGGCGAATCGAGGTGCATCTTTGGAACATAAAAATGCTGACCTTCTTCAACAAGGTGAGCCTCAGCCAAGCGCGGAGAAGTAAAATGCTGCCTTCTTTTATTTGCAATTATTTTAAAATAAAGGTAAATTTAACGTATGCAATCTTTATTAGGTATGCAAGTACACCAGATTGCAAAAATTCAGAAAAATTATTTAGTTTACTTTTCACACTATTATATTTTCACTAACTTTTCTGTGATTGAACAATATATAAATGAAAAGTCGAAAGTTATGCTTTTATTTTAGACTTAGCAGAGAACTTTGTAAATTTCATAGTCACGGAAAAGCTTAGAGAAACTTAATACCTAATAATAACATGGAGTTGGAAGTGCAAATTCTCTGGACTCACTAATGAAAATATTGCAAATCAATTTATTAGGTAAAATTCCTTCAAAGGGACGCCACCAAAATAGCAAAAAGCGGGGGATAAATGGCACCCGTTCATAAAGCTTTGACCAGGGGAAAGGAAGAGTTGAAGGAATTTATGGCTTTCGCAAATTCTTTGTAACAACAACTTGTTCACTCCGGAAGAGCTGCGAGAGGCGTGGTTTTACTGTTGACTTCGTTTGTCTACACAAGCCTTCAGTCAGCTAACAGTGGAAATACACGAGTGTTTAACCGAAGCTCCAAAGACACTGCTTTTATAATAACTCATATGATGAGTTTTGTATTGTTCTGGTCACGGCCAGATTGAAAAATACAGTGTGGTTTTACTCTATAAGTCATTGGAGAAAACCTGACTCTCGATCATTGAATACCTACTTCATACTAATTGCATACTGGTTTTGAGCTTATCGTCAGTGCAATATAAGCGAAAGCATACCACCTCAGAAACAAGTTCACAGGAAGTTCGAACAATAAGAAAGGAACATACCTTGAGCAATAGCGTGTGGCTATTATAGGTATTATAGTTATCAACATTTATTGTTAATGTTATTTTAGTCTTCTCCTCCCTTTTGGTCTGACTATGTTTGTTCAAGGCATCTGAGGAATAGTTTTGCTGGAGTTTCAGAGATTCTCTCCTATTTTTTATAAACATTATATATATATTTTTCTATTTGTACAAGATTTTGTATCCCTTATAGGAAAATTTGATTTGACTTTACTAATTAATGTTCTAAGGAGGTAATCAAGTTTTGTTTATATTTTTCCAATTTCCATCTAGTAATTGGCTGATGCTTACTGTAAGGTAGAATAGTTGGTAGCTGAGTTATATCTCGAATCCAATTAAATTCAATACAGTTGCCTTGTTGGTGTTGCCGTGTTACAGTAAACTTGCTGATCCAAACTTCAACCCCAACGTAGGCCCTGAAAAACATCTTTTCCGTGATTCTTTTTGTTAAAAATTACATTAACAACTTCATTTGTGAATATATTCCTAAAGCAGTCACCAGAACAATTGGATGAGTTCCAGAAGATCCATATAATAGTAATAGTATTAATCAAGAAATCCAAATTGCGTTTCTAAATATCGAAATTAATTAAGTTGTTTCTGCGTATATGTTTGCTTTTCACGTGCAACGGGTTTACCTAAAACAAAACAAAACAAAACTAGAAAATAACCTCCAACTTAAATAAAAGCTTAACTTTTACTTTTCCAGGAATGTTTATTAAATAAAGATAAAATACATTTTATGCCTATTAAACTATAGGTTTTTTTATGTTTACACAATGATTAATGAAATAATGAATATGTAATAATAAATTGAGTTCTATTTGCGTTTTAGATCCCACAGATTTTTTTACTGTGAGATTTCCTCGAGCATCATACTCAGGTTCCTTATATGCTATCTCGTATGCTATATACCAGTAAATGCCAATAATAATATTAACACTAGCTACTGATGAAAATACAGAAATTGCATTGGCTTGAAAAAGTTCCAAGTGAAAAAATTTCAATTTTCAATAGATAATGTTTAGTACCTACCAAAAAATACTACAAAAGGAATGCTCAACATAAGAGCACTGAAGGATAGAAGCAGTGCTAAAGCTTTAGCAGTCAGTCGAGTCTGTGGTGGCAACCAATCTGAATTTTCTTGTATACTTTGTGAAATAATCTCTTCATTCTTAGAAATTCTTTTGGTCAAATTTTGAATTTTCATTTACTAAAAAAAGAAAATTAAATAATTAATTTATAATTATTATTATCCTTGAGGTTGTATCACTGTTCAATAAGTTTCCTTTTCTCCCCATTAAACAGATATCAAAATTTTACAAAAGTAATTTATTTGAATGGATTTTTGAAAAGAAGTAGGAAGTAGGTACAAGGGTATTCAGAGCTTAGTGAAGTGAAATTGAGTATTGAGGAACGATCTCCGGGATATTATCCTGGTGGAAACTCTACTGACTATTAGAATTCAAAAATATCCCAAAATATTAAGTAAAAATTCCCGATAGTACCTACTTACAAAATGTTTCTTTTCATAAACCAATAATTGCTTTATACTTCAGGCATCCTCAGCGAGATCTTGCGCTATTTTGGGTGCACATTCATGAAGCACTTTCACTGGATGATTAAAGGTGCCTTTATTGCACTTTTCCATTTTATTTACCTTTTAAGGTGGGCCATTCCTTTGCTTGATAAATAAAACAAAACTACATTGCTTATTTTGACCTTCGACAGTTGACTACCTACTTGACAGCGATTTGTTGAAATCTTTTCTAAAATAACGGGGCAGCAAGCTCTGAAGGGAGTAGATGATAAATGAAGATTCTGCAACCACCGTTTAATAATAAAATAATGGTAAACGACCAGAAAGATAATTCAATTGATGATTGCCAGTCGTTAATTACCACTCCGAATGGAATCCTTATTTCCAGTGAGAGCCTCATTTGTTTTGCTGGCGTTTTCCAGTCTATTTGTTCAAATTAAGCTGATGCGGACATGGTACTTCTAACAATGTTCCTCGAGGTTTTGTGTTTTCTGAGGTCATAGCAATGACGATGTCTAATATTTGGTTTATAATGTATCGCAATCTCAAACGAAATACTTACTGTTAGGGCTGATGGTTCTATCAGAAACATCAAATCTCGTCCACCCACATCTCTTATCACAAATCACTTTTATTATTAGTGTTGGAGTCTCCCAATATTAATCTTATCTTACTAAAAATTTCTGTTTCAAGTTCATCCTCTCGTTAAATTCACATAAACAACTGCACAGACTTATTATCTTAGCTCTACTCAAAACATAGGTAACTTTCAAAGAAATAAGTAGGTATTTTTAAAATGGGAGCACAGCTTTGATAATAGCTTTACGAATACTCTTAGGTCAAATATGAGCAAGTTATGAATCAAAATATGAGAAATTTTATGCTCCTCACATTCGAACGTTTTTCGACAGAAGTGAAAAAAACTTTAAAAAAATACCTTTTAGGTGGTTTTTCGAAGAGGATACTTACGTACTTGCCTACTAAAAGGTTCAATAACTAATAGTAATGATCTAACATTAAAATCAACACACAATAAATAAGATATATCAAGTTCTTTTGCATTATTTATTTCATTGTTTATTTCTAAATTATAAAAAATATTCTAAATCTAAAATCAAATCGTCAAGATTTTTAAGTACCTATATTTAGAAAGCGTGGAGTGTCACTGACAGAAGCCAGCTCTGCAATATGTTTGCCTTGTGTTAAAACGGCTGTATAATTATCGGCTACAGAAGATTCTTTGGCTTTTTGGGTAACAATTGTTGATACTCTTCTTCGCTCACAGGATGATTATGAAAGTTTTCTACATTTGATACTTGAAGAAATTGGCCATCATCGGTGGTGTTTACAAATATCAAGGCTGGACAAGTTGCGGGAATATTTCTAGATAATGACCTAGAGAAAAAAAAACATTATGAAGTTATACCGATTCATATTTTAAAAATAATCACAGTCTGTTTCGTTTCCCAGTTCCTTTGGGTTTATTATTAGAAGAGAAAAAGCAAGTGTATTTCGAATAATAATATTTCAGTTCTGGTTTTAAGCTGCGCTTGATTCTATGCTTTGCTCCTTGAATAGAACGACTGTCCCTTCTGTAAAAACGCACATAATTGGCTTTACAAACTTCCGCAAATTTGCTTTTGAATTCTTCAAAAGTGGCAAATCGGTCTCCCACACTAAACCCTAAGTCTACAAGAACTGTTTCCCCTTTATCATGCTCGGACTCCGAATCAGAATCAAGGTTCCATTTCTGTGGTTCCTCTTCAGATTCAACTAAGTCTTCGTCCTCAGATTTAATTTCAATTTCAGCACAAGACATTTTACCGGTTTTGATAAAACAAATAATTCAACATAACCTTTTTGCTTCTTTTTCTATGAGTTCTTGTCAAAAATCAAAAACGAACAAGAGCAGCGTTTTCTCAGGCTGTGTTCCGGAACACGAAGCACGCCCCATCTGGTATAACGGTCTATTCGTGGAGCAATTCTGTAACACAATAGTTGTATTCCTTTCACACCTAGGAAGAGCTCCGGGGCGTTAAGCTTACTTTTCATGCATCCGTTTTCCGCCAATCCGTGGATCCGGGAGTATTCCTATTTATTTATTTATTTATTTATTTATTTATTTATTTACGGGCAAGACCCATTAAAAAAAAACAACAAGAAACATTAAGTACCTTACAACTAAATAAACATAGGCCAGTAATACTTGGCGTAGTAACAGGATAAAAATACATATAAATTATTAACAGTAAAACATTAAATCAGTTATAGGTATAAGAAAATAGAGGACAAACATAAATAATGACTGATCAAGATGACTAGAAATTCTTAGCTATCGAACTTGGCATCACAAACAAACAAGGAGAATTACATTAGAGAGTTAAGCTCTCTTTTAAAGCTATTTATGGGTCCAAAAAAATCCAGGCTACCATGGGTGTTACCTAATCGAGAAGTTCTGGAGATGAATGTATTGAAACCATAGTTTGTACGGTGATTTCTTTCTGAGAAGGTTATGGCAGAGCGGGTGTCCCTTGCTGGGACGTGAAGCCCTATTCTGGACAGTAGGTATGCGGAATCACTAATGGAGTTCAGTACCTTGTAAAAAGTATATAAATCTCTTTGATTGCGTCTAGCTGCCAAGGGTTGTAGATTGAAGCGTCTGTATAGGTCGTCATAGTCATACACATAGTTCTCAGGCGAAGGAATACCTGCCTTGAAGGCTAAATAACGTACGAATTTGCGCTGCACTAGCTCTAGGGCTCTGATATGATTAGAATACATTGGTGACCAGACAGAGGAGCAGTACTCCATCAGGGGCCTCACCATTGAGCAATAAAGGTATCTGATAGAATCTATGCTTGTAAAATCTCTCGAACACCTCTTAATGAAGCCTACAAGTTTTAACGACCTTGTTGTGATGTCTGAAATATGGGTGATAAAATTGAGACTGCTGTCAAAAATGACACCAAGATCTCGTTGTTGTGAGACAGTTTCAAGCGGAATGTTGTTTATATGGTACGCGAATTGTGGAGGGCTACGACCCTTGGAGAAAACAATGGCTTTGCATTTGGAAGCATTGAGCTCCATGCCGCTCAAAGCGCACCACTCAGAGAGTCTGTCGAGGTCAGATTGTAGTCTGGCACAGTCTTCAATAGAAGAGACCCGGGTGAACACCTTTAAATCATCCGCAAAGCACAGAACTCACTGTTAATAAAACAAGACTTGATATCGTTAATAAAAACGTTGAACAGCAGAGGTCCCAAGTGAGAACCCTGTGGAACGCCCGATGGGATGTCAATTTCGTGTGAGAAGAAGTTGTTAACTTTGATTATTTGAGTTCTCTCCCCAAGATAGTCGCTAATCCACTTCAACAAAGTACCGGAGATTCCAGCACTTTCAAGCTTAGCAAGCAGAACGGCATGGTTGACACGGTCAAAGGCCTTTGCAAAATCGGTATATATGGAGTGAACTGATTCGCCATCCTCAAGAATTCTTGAAACTTTGTCCTGGTAGGACAGGAGATTGGTTTCAGTTGAGCATTTTGGACGGAAACCGGTCTGCTGCTCAATTAGACTGGGATTGATTTTTGGAGTTAAAAACTTTGTCACTATGCTCTCAAATACCTTTGGGAAGGTGTTTTGGATGATAATGGGTCTGTATTTTGAAATATCCATTTTATCGCCAGATTTATGAATGGGTATGGTGAAGCTCTGCTTCCAGAGTTTAGGAAATTCACCCAAACTGAGTGACTTGTTGAAAAGAATGAAAAGTGGACGGGATAATACAAAGCTACAATTCTTTATCATAAGAGGTGGGACACCGTCTGGACCTGGACCCTTAAAAGACTGCAGGCTACATAGTTCTTCATAAATAACTGATATTGAGATGTTAAATTCATGAATATGTGCATCGCTCCGAGAGATGTCCTGACTAGCAACACAGATTTTGTTGGAATAAACAGAATGGAAGTATTCAGCAAAGAGATTAGCTATCTCTGAACCATTTTTGGCAATGTTGCTATTATAAAACATGTGAGACGGCAAACCATTCGCTTTTCGCTTGGCATTGATAAAACTCCAGAAGTGTTTGAGGTTGTGATCATTCAGCAGTGACATTTCAGAGCGCTGCACATAATTCAGATAGGAGTCCTTTGAAAGAGTCTTACACCGAGTGCGAAGATTCGAGAAGTTGTCATAGTCACTAGGAGAGTCAGTCCGCTTCCAGGTTCTGTGTGCTTCTTTCTTCTTGATTATGAGTTCCTTTAGGTCGAAGGGGAACCATTTAGGAAATTTATGGGTGGAAAGCTTTTTCTTTGGTACAAAGCAGTCAATAGCAGTGTAAAGAATGTCATAAAAAATACTGACCATTTCTGCTACAGTTGGGCCTTGGAGTAAAGCATCCCAGTTGATCATACTTAGATGATCATTGAGAAGTGCATACTCGGCAGATTTAAAATCATAGTAGTACTCATCAGGTTGCGGGTAGTCTGAGTTACACTGCTGGGTCTCGGCACATAATATGTTTAATATTAATGCAGGGTGATATGAATCAATAGGGAGAAGGATGTCATCTGCCAAGGTGCAGGTGTCATCAGGATCCTGACTAAACTTGGTACAATATATAGGAATATTCCCGCATCAACGGAGTGACGGCAATACGGATGCATGAAAAGTAAGCTTACCGCGCTTATTCCTTTCGAAAAGTGTTTGTTGCACCACGCATCTGGTTCCTTGCAAATCGGGAGCGACTATCACCGGAGCGAGTAGCTCGAATGTTTTAAACTCTTGAAAGGAATACAACTTATAATCTATAAACTGTTTCAGTGGCATCATTTTTTTCCTCGCCTACGCCATCGTTAACGCTATTAACTGCAATTTTCAAGCAGGTAGAGCAGATTGGGCAGTTGATAGCTTTAGCGCCATTTAGCCTGCGTGAACAGTGTATTTTGATTTCGCTCGAGCTATTTTAGTGCGTGCTCCCCGAGCACCTCCTTAAATCTGCGAGTAACTCCGAGCGACTCCTAGTATTTCGCACTTGTCTCTTTATGCGAATATCAAACTTAAGGCGTATTTTAGCGAGAGTTCTAACCCGGTAGTATGTTCTATTTACTTGGGATACTACATGTTAGTGATCATGGCTGACATACTCTATGACGTCACAACATAAAACTCGGCTGTAAACATGTAAGCATCCTACGAGGGATAGTTACTGCACAGCTACTGGTTGTAGTATGTCAGTGCATCTTTTTCTAATACACGAAAATGAGCATATGGGCAAAACACTACGATTATTAGAGGTTTTTTGCAAAAAAAAAATCTTCACTTGTGCACAAAAGTGTAATTTTATTTATTTTTTGGCATGGGGTCCCCATGAAATTCAAAAATACCACAATCTATCGAAAATATACGAAAATCTTCACTGGAGAAATAATATTGAAACTCGAAAATGCAAAATTTTGTAAAATTCAACAAACCCAAATAAACAACGATCATGAGTTGTATTCCTTTCAAGAGCTTGAAACACTCGAGCTACTCGCTTCGGTGCTTAGTCGCCACCGATTTGCAGGGAACATATGCGTAGTGCAACAAACACTTTTCGAAAGGAATAAGCGCGTGAAGCCCCGGAGCTGTTCCGGAGCTCCTCGTAGGTGTGAGCCGCATTCATTCGCAAAATATTTGAATCATGATTCCGAGATCCTGATCCGTTCGTTCAGATGGAACATGTTTCATTTATTAGTCCGAAAAAACGCTGTCACTGATGTGTCACTGCCAGCTGGTGCTTTTCCTCTATTCTCTATTTTTTGAGTTGGTTATTATTATATTTTGCAGTTTTTTGATTTGCTACGTTTGTTTTTCTGTGCCTATAATAATGGACGAGCTTACAAAATTTATATTATATATTATTGCAGAAAGCGCAAAGAGTAAACAAGAAATAATTTGAAAGTTGAGGTTAGATTTTCGCGATCGGAACAAACTAATCACAAACAAAAAATGTTCAATATGTTCAGACTTTCTCGGATCATGATTCGTTAACTGTCATTTGCCAAAATGCGAAAGAACGTGATCACTGGAACATAACGCGTTTTGATCAACTGATCCGGTCCGAAAGAATGCGGCTGTGAAAGGAATACAACTATGGCGTCCTCTTTTAGACCCTTTGTCAAATACACTCCACCTGGTATTTGGGTAACGATGACGTCATGAATCGTAGTATGTGTAGTATGATGTTCACTGGTCTCTAAAATACGCCTTTTGAGCACTTGGATTTAATAAAGCGTTTCTGAGACCTACTCGGAACCAATGGTTCCGCAGCTTTTGACTCTTCAAAAAGAACGCGGCTCTTGAATGTATTTGAGTTGACAAGTAGACACTCTAGCAACCCCCAAGCGGTCGGACTCGCCCCGTGAAAACTTTTCCGTGCGTGTTCGGTTGCGTTCGAGATGACATTTGGTACGCTCTGTTTCATCCGAACTTGAACTACTTGGAAACGGAGTACAGCGGGCATTTCACATGACCCTACTTTTCTGTTCCAAGTTCCAATTTTAATTGAAAAAGTTCAGTTGAAATGGTCGAATGTCGAATATTCATCGAGACGATTTTTAGGTTTCCTTAAATCCATCAGAAGATAGACGTGAATGAATAGATTATGTACCAATTTCCAGAAGGCGAAAGTAAAATCAATTTTGAATCTAAAAATGTAATTCCATGTACTCGAGATTAATTTTGAAAATGACGGAACACTCCAAGACTGAGTTCGACTTTGCACTCCACGGAGCGGAACGGTATGAGCATGGATTTGGTGACGTCATACGCAGAGTGCGCCCTGAACAAGGTCATAAGCCGAACGAAGATTGAAGAAAAAATCGAAT